GAGATTTCTTTCCTTAGAAGTGAATTTCACTCCAAAAAAAGAGTACAAATCTGCCACTCTTATTTAAGACTGCGAATTTATCACTCTTTTTTAATAATGGCAACATTTTAACTTTTTTGGAGTGAGATTTCACTGCAAGAAATTTAGAGTGTACCAGAACCAAATTTTCTTTGCACGTTGTCTATATATAAACCTAGATATATTTGGAAATAATTATGTTGCATAAAACACATACTATAATAGTTTCACTTACTATTTCTGTTTTATTATACTCAATTCTGAATTATTTATGTAATATTTAATCGCTCGTCAAGTTTGTTTTCTATTATAATGAATAACAAAATTAATTAAGTCCAATTATCATCGCGAAGCAAAAATATTTTTAATGAGATTCTTACCTTTGAAAATTTCCAAGAAAGACGGTTTTAATGAGAATATCTTACCTGCGCGAAAATCGTTCGGCGGCATGACGGAGCGTCTTTGACCCGAGAATCACAACACTATGAACACAAACTGAACGACGGAATTCCGATAGTCTCTGACAACGGAGAGTAAGATAGAGACCCGTGCACTTCGTCAGCCGGCCCTCTTCTGGACTAGGAATGATCGTAACACTCGCGGAGAACATGCGTAGCCTCTTTTCTTGCGATGTAATGAAGTATACAAACTCCCTACTTCTGCCGCTATTCATTATTCGTTCGCACGTAAAATCAGGCGGGAACGTTAATTTTAGAAATGCGATCTCTCGCGGGGAAAAATATTGATATTTACATCACGCATCAACTAAAATTTTTATTAATATTAGAATAAAACATAATCCGCGCGCTATACGTGGATGATTCGTTTTTGTATGTGTGTGTTATGATACATAAAAGATTTTATAATATTAAATATGAACAGATTAAAAATTTATATATTTTCATATTTATTATATTCTTTATTTAAAAAATACAAATATAAATTTCTCATAATATAATGGATTTAAATTTTTCATTAGGTTATACAGTATTTGGAATCAATATGCCATCATTAGTTTGCATTGAATTTTTTAAAGACAAATAATGAATAAAATTATACTATATTAATTATTACTGCTAACTATCCCTTAACATTAATATGTGCGATGACAGTTTCGATATGTAAAGTTGTCGAAATCGCACCGGCTCTTAAATCGCACTACCTCGCTTAAAAATTCAATTATTGTATTTATATACATTCTTACGGGTTATTTAAGAACTACATGATACTGTAATGTTATTCCGTTATACTTGTAACATGAAGTGTAACAAGAGTGTCGTTATTTACATGAACAAAGTTTGCTTTACATTTTTTTATAGATAAAGTAAATAAAAGTTTAAAAAATGCTTTAATTTTCTAAATCGCACGTTACCTAATATTTTTCCATTTCTTACATTTTTATTTCATTCATTATTATATAAAAATGTATATTGTAAATCTACAAAGTGTTTATTTTATTTCACGTAGAAACTCCTTAAATTACTTCTTGAAATTATCATGTGTTTCAGAAATTATGAAAAATATATTCTTAAGTTTTTAACAGCATAATAATATACAATTTTTTCCTTTTCTTATGTAATTTTTAAATTTTTTACATTATCATAATGTTTTAAATGAGGAATATTGATATAATGCGATTTGGACAATGAATTTTTTCGTTGTCAAAATCGCACCAAACTGAAAAAATTCTCATTTTAAACGTTATAATAGCACAAAAAAATTATGAAAAAGTTACATAAGAAAGAGAAAAGAATGCAGTTTATTATGCTGTAAAAATCTTAAGAATATACTTCATAATTTCTGAGTTATGAGCTTTTAAATAAAAAGTGATATGATTTCGGCAACCTTACCCTAATAAATACAACGAAAACTTCAATTAGCATTATGATAAAAAAAAAGATACAAATACTTCAGTTTTAAATTTTTTTAACGAGACTTGTATATATGTATCTTGATCAAATCTGCGATGAGCCCACTAATCAATGACCGCGACTGAGAAACTTTTTTATACTACAAACAATGCTAGGAAGTAATTTTCTATGTCGTTAAGCTTCCAATCTTTATCGTGGTTTACAATACTGATGGGAAAAACCGACGAATTCGTAGGATTGACAAACGAACAAGGAAATTATGGAATATTATTACATCTTTGAGTTCTATCGTATTTACTTTGTTGCATAATACTTTTTTTATTTATCAGATTCTTTTACAGTTTACTTTTGCTTTAATTGTTAAACTATTTTTGTTAATATTATCTTTCCCATGCATAAAATATTCAATCTCTGCGAATATCAGTTTTAAAGTCCGAGATATAACTAATTTTAGAATGGATCGTTTATAAATCTCGCAACTATGTGTTTTTTGCTCTTTCTATTATTATTATTCGCGTTTGAAGGAATATAAAAATATATTATTATTCGCGTTTGAAGGAATATAAAAAATATATATTCCTTCACCATAATACACACCTTCAGTTTGGCTTTTCAATTATATACGACTGTGTCACATAGGTTTTTTATATATGTATAATACACATTCTTAATTTGCCAGTTTATGTGATACGCTAACAATTTTTTTCTCTGCGTATAAAACTGTTGTTGATAAAACGCGAATAATAAATTTTTTGTAACTCTTGACGTGACGATATATGGAATACTGTAGCATAGATGTAAGATACATATTAGCTCAGTTGATAATACTAGTAGTAAAATCGTAATCCTGCAATAAATTGCATATTCACGAAATATTTATTACCGGTTGCAAGCTGCTTACATTACAGATGCTTGTGAACGATCTCGAGATTAGTTTTTAAAAAGGAAAAATAATTTTTTTAGAAATTACTTCTCCTTTATAGAGTATAAATTTTTGCAGTATGTTCTAAGAGCAAAGATGCGTCTCGAAGAGAAAAACTCGTCAAAACATCGTATGTAATTTATTCGAAAAGCCATATCCCATTACAATTCATGACACATACATGCAACAGTCGTGTAATCCGATCTTATCCTCTACGACGCTTCGCGCGCAAATGAAGCTTACGAATTCCGGGCGAACCAAGGGCGCTATTCTGTAACTGTTTTATACGCCTACCGACAGTTATCGGTGTCGTTGCGTAGCTTTTTCACCATCTAAAATATCTGTGCGACGACACCGACAACTGTCGGTAGGCATGTAAAGACAATTACAGAATAGGGGCTCAGGGTAGCTTTCATGTAACTTTTTCTTTAGAGCGGAAACGTAAAAAATGAAAATTTGTATGTATGTATGTACATATACACATATACATGCAAACAATTTTCACTTTTTACGTTTCCGCTCAAGGGAAAAAATTACATGATCGCTATCCAGAATCTACTGCGTGTGATTTCGCATTCAGACACTTAAAGTTATTGTTATCTATACAAGAGAGGATATAGGGGAGGAAGCGGATGAGATAGTCCGAAATGTGTGTATTTTATATTTACATATACATTAAGCCACGAAACGTAATTGCAATCGCGTGCACACACGCATATAGGGACACTCACGCTCACCCTCACACGCGTGCATAGATATGTACCGAGTACAATTAAAACTTTGACGCGACCGACGGCGATGGAGGTAATTTCCTGAATTCACCGAGACTAATTCCGTTATTTCGAATTTCGTCGCAGCAAGGATGAGAGAGAGAGAGAGAGAGAGAGAGAGAGAGAGAGAGAGACAGGAAGAGAGAACGGCCGTGTTGCGCTGCTGCGCGAGAGCAGCCACCTCAACGTCGGTCTTAACGAGCTGCATCCCGTACGTGTACGATATAATGGCGGCGAATTTAGTGGAATTGGGAGCGAGCGAACCGAGTCTGTAATCCATAAATTCGCTAATAATTAATAAAAAGCGCGGCGAGAGACGGCACCGCCGCGAGATACGCATGAGAGGGATTTCTTCTACGCGCGAGCTTCAAAATCACGAAAAAATAAAGAGAAATAAGAGAACAGGAGAGAGTTAATACTTGAAACTATATACTACTATACAAGACGAAACTATACTATGCATTTCTGGTGCTTCACTTCGTGTTACAGGACGTAGAGCGATCATCTTCGAAAGTGTGTGTGCTGGCAATTAAAAGACTACGTAGACTATACAGGAAAAATATAAATGTATAATAATATGCATCACAGTTGAATAATATTTCAAATATATTTTATTTATATATCTTTTTAAATATATAATACTATAAATATTTGAAATGCATATAACGCTAATTATTTATCATTTCGATTTTTGGAATAAAATTGTTAAAAATATGTTTTACTACTTATTTTTTGAATCACCATTGTAACAATATCCTCGATACAATATACAATGTATACTCTTGCTCTAAAATAACTTCTTTATTTTGAAATAAGAATAATTTATCATTTACGTTTTTATATTAAAAATGCATTTTTACGGTATTTTACGCAATCGTAACGCGGACAAAATAAATAGAAATGAAACAGGTTGAAGAATCTTATTAAATGCAAAACTTATTAAGAAAGAAAAATAATGCGCTAAGAAAACTTCATATAGCCAAAACATGTTAATCATGACTTTTTACGTATGTTTGAGAATAAATAATTGTTTTTAATATATTAAAATTTTTTATCTACTTATCAATTGGCCATTATTTTTCCTTCTTACAATAAATATAAAATCTAATATAACGAACACATACATATCAATAATTTTTGCGTCTACCGCACTGAGAAAAAGATAATTAAAAATTTATTTATGAGAAATATATTTCACTGAAATAAATCTTTATTTAAATACGACGAATAAAATTGTATTTCTAGCAAATAAATCATCTATTTTATTTTTTACAATTAATGAGGATATATTTTACAGAAATGTATATTTCATTATCACAATCACATCTTTTCATAACTATAATAATAAGTATCGTAGAAAACGTTGTCAGTAAGTAACATTTGCTTCGCAATACTTTGACATTTTTTCTCAGTGTTGTATTTAATTTAACAAAATATATAATAGTAGGTACACGGTGTCTTATCTATAAATAATATATCGTACTTTTGTACAAAATCTGTCACATCAGTCTACGACACAAAAATCCTTGTCGCGTAGCAGTCCTTCGATGCGTTGCGATCCTTCAGGTTACAAGATTTCGAATGGGACGTTTCCGAGCGTCTTGGAAGTAGAAATCCGTAAAGTTCCAAGCTCGTCTGTTTCTATCGCTCCGCACGAGAGCTTTCACCGCAACTTTCGCAACGTCCTCTTTCTCAACCAGGGAGAATACCAGTGCGATCAGGATTTCTTGTTCAATTTGTGAACCACCGACGACCGGAATGCAATTTCGCTCACTGGAAGAAAGCACGCACGATACAAACTCGGTTCGTAGATCATTCGGTAAAAATGACGTAACGACGTCGTCCAAAAATGTCCAGGGGATATTTGAAAGACTGAATGAACGAAAGTAGGACAAGCGTAAAAGAATTATTTGAAAACGTGCCAAGTTCGTATGACACTCGCAGAGCGCCGATGAAATTTTCGACAGAAAAGAACTATCCACACGAGCAATTTCATTTGTCAAATAATTTTTTGATTAGCTATGATATATTATTGGCTGTCAAAAAATTATTTAACGTAACTTTAAAAAATATTCAATACACATGACAATAATATAATATATCGATATGATGATAATAAGTTTAAGAAATAAAATTTAAAATAAAAAAAAACGTTTAAGAAATTACATAAATAGTTAAACATATAAAATGTACTTTTTTGAGCTAAAAAAAATTAAGTTTTATTTAATCCTTAAACATCACACTACAGAAACAACATATTTAAATATGGCAACCCAATTCGATTGCTTACAATTTTCATAAAAATAAACATGTAATAAATTTTTTTTCAATCGAAATGTCAGACATTTAAGAAACATAATAACCAAATGAATATACCTTTATTAAAAATTATAAACAATGGAAAAAAACATTAGATATAGAAAAAGATATGCCAGATGTGTCATATCTAACAGGCGTTTAAGGGTTGATTTTAATTTTTATTGTTGCTCGTAAACTGATAATTAATGTGTACAAAATTACGTTTTTATTGGAGTGCAGAAACTTACACATTATTCCATTTAAGTCTCGATGTCGTTCAAAGTTTCTACATCTTGCGTATTCTTCTGATTTTTCAAAAATAAGCATCGATAGATTAAAGTCGCAATAACGGAGCCTCCAATCGGTCCCAACCAGTATAACCAGTGATAGCGCCAGTGGCCAGTCCAGACTGCTGGTCCGAACGATCTAGCGGGGTTCATGCTGCAGCCGGTATGAGGGATGAAAGCAAGACATAGCATGGAGACGCAGAGGCCAAATTTCAATCCCAACGAGTCGCTATTCTTCGCGTTTCGCGAGTCCCAACTACTGCACGCGAAAAAAACAAGTACGCCAGTAGCAAGAGCCTCAGCCGCGATTCCATGTCCGATCCCGATGGCCTCATTAACGTTCGTCGTGCAAAACTTGTAGGTTGTCGTTGAATCACCATCATGCACAAGATCTGCCGGCGTTATCATCTGTTAATTGATATTAAAACAAAAGTTAATTCAATTTGAATCAATCGATACTTGCACAGATTTACTACACTATTTATTGTTGTTTGTGCAGTAAATAATTCGAACTAGCTATTAAAATTTTATCTACAACAATCAATGAAATAGCATTTTAGATAATCGGATGCTGCAATTAACGAATATACACACACTCAGAGAAAAAAGTCATATCAGTAACTATAAATTTGTAGTGAAATAGCGCCTCGATATACATATTATTAAATTCTAATAAGAATACTAGATTAAGTGAACTAAGAAAATATAGTACATTAAACATATAATCAATTTATAAATGGTTAATATTACTATATTTTCGTAGTTCACTTAATTTACTTATTGTTGTTATTAAAGTTTTACAATACATAGTTACAAATTTGTGTATGCATTTCTTATTTATTTTTGTCTTCCAAGTTTGAAATCAACGCTGCGCCTTTTATTGTAAGCTGAGTGGTTTCCTTCTTAAGAGAAACTGAACTCCGCTACGTCCCTCTGGTGACAAAGCCGCGTACTACTCGTACTGAGCGACACTTTAAAAATTTTTGTCTAAATTAGAAAAATGTAATTGTTATATCTATTTGCATGAAGTCCAAGTAACTACTCAATGTAGTTGAGTCACTATTTCACTACCAATTAATAGTGCATACAATTTATTACCGTGATTATATTTTTATGACATTCAGCACTACTTTAGTTTCTATTACTTTGTAAAATTAGTTACAGGTACTTCAATTGCAAAAGTTGCCAAATTTATAGTTGCTGGAACTATTTAGTTTTCTCTTAGTGCAGAAACAATTATTTTAAAGTTTCTAAAAATTTATCTAAATACAGATTTAAAAATGATTTTATTGAATCATGAAAATTATTATGTATGTATGAAATTTAAGCATGATGAGTAATGCTGCAAAAAACATCGACATTCTAGTAACTAAACATTCCTACAATTATTTTGATAGTCCAGTGAAATCATTTTCAGATTTGTATTTAGCTAAATTTTTATCTTAGCAAAACTGTTATTTCCGTGTAGAGATAATAAGCTTGTTTGTCGACAAAATAGCCTAACTTGCCTAGTAATTGAATATGATTGGTTCTTACTTTTAGATCCGATCAATCACATTCAGTCGCTCGACGCGCATTCTACTCCAATTTAAACGCGACTAATATTTTATGTTTAGGAGCAAACGGATGTTTGGATGGGTAAAAATAAACGTAATGTTTGCAGCTTTGAGATAACGTAATTTTTGACACCTAACACGTTATATAAACACAGATATGTATCAGCATGTTATTATCACCGAAATATGATTGTTAAGGTATCTCCGCCGAAACGTAATTTAAATATGATCTTTGTAACCTGAATAAATGAATATGTGCGTATTCATTGACCTTTAGCAAGCCGTAACCTAACAGGGCACCCAAACATTGTGCAATAATGTAAAATCCAGCCATTATGAGGGACTTTTTGCCAAGAATTACTGCGGCGATCGTAATAGCCGGATTGAGATGAGCGCCGCTGATGTGACCAACGCACTGGAAAAGAACAAATATGTATTTAATCGACGATAAGGTTTAATCTGATAATGTGGATATGTACCAATTATGTCGAAATGTATCAATAAATTGCTACTTAGAAATATTCGCTTTTATATGTTCGATTCTACTTATAAATTAATATATATTAATTAATATATTGTAATATATGTGTGTGTTATAATATGTAATATAACATATATCTAGAGGAGAGAGTTGCCGAATGCGTACCACTTAACCTATTTTCTATTATATTATATTTTCCATTTGGCACTGTTTTGTATGCAAATGAACATTAGAAATTGTAGCTTGAGGTTTCAAACGTTTATTATTACATGTTTAACTTTTCACCAATAACAAATTAATTTGTTATAAATCTTT